CAGAGCAAGCGCAGCACTATGGTCGGAACTCCTTACTGGATGGCTCCTGAAGTCGTCACACGGAAAGCCTATGGCCCTAAAGTGGATATCTGGTCCCTAGGCATCATGGCTATTGAGATGGTGGAAGGAGAACCCCCGTACCTCAATGAAAACCCCCTGAGGGTAAGAAATACAGACATGGCTAGGACCGTTTGTGAGCGTTTATCAGGTGAATCTCCTCAGCAGGCTCAGTGTGATTCTTGATGGCGTCTTACCTTACCTTAAAAAGTAAAGCCCACAGACAACGAGCTTCAGTAGTGCAAGGAAATTCCATCCAACGGATGACTGCTGTCTTGAATTTGTGTTCTATTCAGAATATAAGTGCAGATTGTACCATGTAACTGAAACCTTAGACTTGGAATTCAGCCTTCTGCCTTAGTTTAGGAAAGGTAAATCCATTAGGATATGAAACATGCTGCTTTGTCAGTCTGATACTTTCTTCTGGAAGATATACAGACGTATCTCTTGAATAACTTGCCAAAAGATTTAGAAGGTTATTTTACTACTAGCAAGAATACATTGCAACTTGCTGTAAGTGACATTCTTAAAATGTTTCGTCTCATTGGGATAGACTGCAGACTCTTACTCATCTAGACTGAGATATTGTCTCTAGGCCAGTCGGTTGTTATCTTTTAAAGGCTTGAGCTGGCTGTACCACATTCCTCGTTTTACAGGCGTTATATTTGATAGCAACTAATGGCACACCAGAGCTTCAGAACCCTGAGAAACTGTCCCCAATATTCCGGGATTTCTTAAACCGATGTTTGGAGATGGATGTTGAGAAAAGAGGATCAGCCAAAGAATTGCTACAGGTAAGAGTCAGCTTCTCTCAGAGTCTGAGGTACAGAGGCCACTTTTAAGGTAAGCGTGTGTTAAAAGGCACTGCAGACTAACACTGCCTTCTGTCTTGTGTCTTCCTCTGAGCAAAGGGGGAAGGACTTCAGGGGGCAGTAGGTCAGGAGGAACCACCGTCGTCAGAGGTTGTACTGGCTGTTCTGAAGTCATTCTGGCAGTAATCTGTGCCATCGTTCTGCCACACTATCTAATGATTGGTGATTCACTGTAATAGAGCCTTTAAAGTGAGCAGAATAGGACTGAGAGAAGGAATTTGAGCAGAAAGCCTTACTGGAAAGCAAAAGGCTGAGACTGCTTTGGGAAGAGGAGGGATGATTAAATGTAGGCTATGAGTGCTACGAGCCACTCGGTCTGTTCCTTTAGAAGCACTGGTAATATTTGCACTGCTTTCTGTATCTCAGGATGGAAAGAGCTGTATGAACGTGTGCCTTACACTGGCTTTTTAAACTGTCTTTCACTAATTTACTGTGCTTCTTTCTTCCTGGCAGCATCCCTTCTTGAAACTGGCCAAACCTCTGTCTAGCTTGACGCCGCTGATCCTGGCAGCCAAAGAAGCAATGAAGAGTAACCGCTAACGTTATTGCCGTGGCCTACGTTTGGTTTTGTTTTGTTTTGTTTTGTTTTTTTACAAATCTTTTTAATATATGAAATTGTTACACTTCTGGTGGGAGGGAAGAGGTTTGCGGGTGGGATGGGGCGGGGGGAACATCTGCAAAAGGGAAGCAACTCTCATCCAGAAGACACCTGACATAAATTGTGGTGAATCTAGTGATCCCTTTCTGGGGTCCAGAAGGAATTGAGGACTGAATTACTGGCTTTTTTTTTTACCCTTTTTCTCCTATATTTTTTTTTCTCCAGACAGCCCAGAAATGCCACTTAGCATGCCCAGGGTTTTAAGGGCTTTAATGACTTTACTGTAACAACTCCCATTCATTGTACCCTTGTGGGTGCTTTTAGTACTTGAATGACCGATTCAAGCTTTCAGAGAGCAGCACTAATGTTACCAGCTGATCTCTTTCATTCTTCTCTTCCTCCTTTCTACCTGTAAATTGCTCTGGTAAGCTCCCAAATGACAAGATTCACGGCAAATGTGACTGATGTGAAGGTACATCTTGCCCCTTCTTCCTTATACAAATTAGCTGTCACTCAGCTGTTTAATTAATAGTGGGGCTACTCAAGAAATCACAACATGAGATATATTTTGCTTTTTAAGACGTGTGGAGAGAGGGGGAAGAGAAGTATCCAGATGCTTTTCATGTGCCTGTGCTCTGTGGACTATTAATCGAAGATGTGGCTACTCTGTAGAAACCTCATGATTGGTCAAGTCTTTGGATGTCAGTTTATGGATATGTAGGTAAGGGTCAGATAGTTTATTTATGATCAAATGATCAGCTATAGTCAGGGCAAGAAAACAATTCCAGCTGTCTTCCTGTGTGTTCTTTTTCCCATTAGACTTGCTGGCCAGAAGCTTAAGGGGTATTTTGCTTGGTGTGGTGGGTGGTTCAAAAACATGTATTGCATCTGTGCTCTGACTTGGGCTTTGGAAGTTATGCTGGTGCCTTTGACTTTTTACTTTACATTTTCTTTCTTGTATCAAATACATTTTTGTATATGTTGTAATTTTTTCCCCCAAGCAAGTAATGCATCAAAGTATGGAGTTGTCAGAATTTAAGTATTAGAGCTATTTTTTTCCAGTTTTGTATGTGCTCTGTTTGTATTAACGAAATGAAAACAAGTCATCAGATCTGAGGACACTGAAGATGCAGGTTTTCTCAAACAGAAGATTACAAACACCTGGAAATGCCAAAATGCTGTTCTGAGAAGAAGGAGGCTGAGACAAGAGAGCAGTGCCTTCAGACATCCATGGGGCTTATTTAGCTGGCTGGTTTGAAGCTGAAGAGACTTGGTGCATCATCACACTGACCCTTTCTCAATGCAAGAAAAAGTGCCTCCCTTTGAGGGACAGTGAGCGCCTTCAGTGACTGATTTCTTGGTGTGTCAATGGGGCAAGTGTAAAAGAGCCTGTGCCCCCAGCTTCTTTTAGTGCTACAGTCTATGCATTTCAACTTCCCAAACAGTTTAATGAAGAACTAACTGTAGTTACAACGTGCCAAATGATTCTGTGAATGAGTAACTGTTACTTTACTGGGATTTTATCACTTTTGCAGTGGGCAGGACCTGGGATGGATAGGGTTATTGCTGGGTATTAACAGAGGACCCTGAGTAAAATTTGTACACACCTTTACAAGCGTTGCTGGCAGGAGCTAGAAGTCATTTTCAGATAATTTTGTACAGAGAGAGAGAAAAAATTAAGTCTTGGGGACTGTAGCCAAGGTATGAGGAAACTCAGAGCTGAGAGCAGCCAGCCAGAACTGCTGAGCCTGCGTCTGTTGGGGAGGGAAGGTGAGCAGGACTACGGTCCCAAAATGTTGGCAGTGACTCACCAGCTTCCAGGAGATGGCTTTGTGCCACCCAGGTGCCTTACTGTGCAGGGATCTGCAGTGCCACCGCTCAGTTTATGTTCTGCTCTTTTGTGGTAGGAACCCAAGTACGTTACGGTAACTGCGCCGCCGGAGGACAAAATCTCTCTAGTTGTATGGGCGAGAATAGCTGTGGTTTTAAGTTCCAGATAGCGTCTTATTCCAGGCAGGTAAATCTAGGTGCATTTCCCAGGCAGAACGTGTCGCAGGCCGTGGTCGCTGTAAACACTAGAATGGCATTGCTCTTGGTTTGAATGCGTCTGGCTTCCTGATCAGTGAAGTAGCAAGGAAGCTTGGCTAAGGAAAAAACCTGTCTTATTGATGATTCCCTCTTTGTCCATTGCTGGCAATGGACTTTGTGAAACTCCTTGTGCCAGAGTTAAGGTGGGAGCTTTCCTTTCTTTCTTTTTTCTTCTTTTTTTTTGTTTTTAATCTTTTTTTTCTTTGATGGCACAGTCTAGACAGTAAGATAAGTATAACTTGTGATAAATTTAGAATTTTTTAAATAGAAAAAAAAAAAAAAACATGAGATCATAAGTAATTTTAACTTATTAGTTCACTTTTATTGATGAATGAGAACGGTTTTAAACTTGTATTATGAAAATTGTCCAATTTAGTCTACTTAGGAGGTGGTTTCCAAGCTTACAGCCATCCTAGCAAACAAGACTTAGCCCGGCCCCAGAGTTACAAAACATATCTTGATGCTTGCTGGAATGGTGTTAGCTCTGAGTTGAGGAGTGCTGCAAGGTGGGGTCAGAGATGAGCTGGGAGAAGGGGAGAGCCATGAGGGGGTTGCTGTGCTCTGCTTTTGTGTGTCTGGGGGTTTCTCTGCCAACGTCAGCTGCGTGTCTGCGAAACAAGGATGCGAGCCGTGCTTTTTTCCTCTGAATGGAGATGAGCATTTGTCACACTTGCTGCTGCTCCACTTGGCTAACGCAGAGAAACAGAACAGCCAGAGTTTGAGTGGATGCTGAAAAGGAAGAGTTTGCTTTGGGAAGTGCTGGGGTTCCCACATGCCTCGCTCTCTCGGGTGCAGAGCAGCACCCCAGGTTGGCCTGTTCATCCAGCGCGTGTGCCGTGTGTGTGGGATGCCCTGTGGTCGGGGTGACTCGCTGGGCAGCTCGAGGCTGGGATGCACGTGTGCAGGAAAGGTGCAACTCTTGGGATCTCTGTTACCGTGGAACAAAGCGAGTTGCTCGTGGGAAGCAGCCGTGGTGCTGGGAGCGCTTTGAGTGAGGCAGCTCCTGTGGTGGAGGGTGGCTGGGGGAGCCAGAAGGCTGCTAAAGTCTCTCCAGCTGGTGTTAAATACGCGTCTCTGGTCCGTTTTCCCTCTGTCCCTCACGCTATCAGTGGAAATGGAAGTGGGTGCAAGCTTTCTCTTTATTTTTTTAACTGTCTTCAGATTTTAATGTTGCCTTTTGTGTAATTTAATCCCATTATGTTATTTAATTGTTACTGCAATATTAACTACTGTATTTGTTGACTTTGTTTAATAACTGTTCTTTCAGGGCTAGAAATAAACTTCTAAAAAAAAAAAATCTATTTCCTCCCTTTCCCTGTGCCTTCTAAGACAAGAATAGCTGGAAAGAGTAAATGTTTGGAGGTCTTTAATGAGATTAGCAGAATGTGTTGGTTTGTAATTGAGCTTTAATGGTGGCGGATGTAATTTTATGCTATAGTAGCCTGTTCTGTTTCTTTTTCAATGTTATTACTCAGCAGCTTCACATGCACCTATCCCTGCATGCTGCACCTCCTGCTCCGTGCTCTGGAGTAGCGTATGGGAGAGAGGAGCTCTTCATCCATCAGTGAAGAGAGATCCCGTGCTCTGTTTGCAAGTGGAGCAAAGCAGCAGCCTAGCTGGTCATCACTGCATCTTCCACTGTTGCTCACACTTGTGGTTGGAATCATGAAAATGCAGGCCAGTTAAAGAAGAGGACATTGAAATGAGCTTCTCTTGGGCTTAGGATTGGGTCAGTTGAAATCTGGATGATGCTTCTGGCTTGGCTGTGGATTTTGAAGTACCACGCTGTGCATTTCCTGTGTGTTGTTGGGAAATCACCTTGTTCCCTTTCTCACATGTTATGTGAACCTTGCTCATACTGTTGACAGAGGAAAGTGAAGAAACAGTCTGACTTTGGAAATGTTTTCAGCCAGACGTAAGAAATGCTCTTAGCTGATGTTAGCATTGATTTATGGTGGAAACACCTGACAGGAGGAGAGAAGGTGCTTTGCAGAACTAATTCAGCTGGATATTGGCACTTAAGTTGCTTCGAGGTGAGCAGGATTTTGGCTTGGTTTTGGTTTGCACAGGTTGAAACTTCCTTATCCCTGCTTGATAAATCCAAGTGAGGATTGTAAGAACTTGTTTTTCACTTTCTTACACGTGGCCTTGACTAAAAGCAGCAACCACCCATTGTTTGGTCATCAGTTCTTTACCTATTGGATATTTTAATTGCTGTGCATCAGGTTAAAGCTGTAAAGTTGGGGAAGATGTCTTGCAGTTCAGTTGCAATGGATTAAAGCACAGAGCTGAGCGCAGTTCTTTGAGCCACACCAGCAGCATGCTTGTTAAACGGGATGGTTGAAAAACAAACTTCACTTCCAGTGAGAGTTTCCTGCAGTGCCGTGAGGAGCAGCGCTGGGTTTTGCTGTGCTTCGTGGGACTGGTGGACAAGCACAGCACCCTGCATGCTCCCAGCAACCTGCACTGCTGCATTTCTCCTTGTTTTGCAACCTGCACTTTGCTATGAAGATTGTTTGTGGTGAAAACAACTGTCCCAGCAGTATCTTGCAGACCTCAGTCGTGTGGGAACGGGATGTGAGATGCAAGCTCAGCTAAACTATTGGCTGTGCAGAGGAGGAGGGTTTCTTGAAGATCTCCCCTTACTTTGAGCTATATGGAAACTTCTCAAACAAGTAACAACAGTGGATTTTCTCCTTACAGTCTGTGGCAAGGGAGAAGAGCAGCAGAGGTAGAGCTTCTCATGCTGTTGTTTGTCCACTGTAGTGGTGGCATTGCTTTTTCCCTTTCCTACCCACCTGTTGGTGCCTGCAGGGAGAACATCTTCCAGCACATTGTAACTGCATTTCAATTGATTGTATTGATCTGATTACTGAAACAGGCTGGACTTAATGAGAAAATTAATCGTTGAGATAGGAAAAGTCAGGTCTAACCAAGTGATGTGGAGATGCATCAAGTGAGTAGGAGGCAGGATGGGACTGAAGGAGCAGAAGCAGCGCAACTCAGTGCCCAGCCTCGAGATCCTGGTGCTTTCTGAACAGCTTGAGAGCAATGAATCCAGCTTGCTACAACAGCACAGCAGAAGAGAAGATGCTGATGTGACATGGCAGCATGATGGCACCATGATGCGCAGCTGCTCTCTCAAGGCTGACTTAAGCATGGCACAGTTGCAGGATATGCCACAGCCATAGTTACAGATGGTGGATGGGAAATCGGGTTTGGATATCTTGAGCAGTTCTTACAATGCTAGGATTTTCACTGAGCAAAAAAAAAAGTTATGAGTCTTTTGAAGCATGTTTTCCCTTTCTGTATTTGGGCAGGGTGTGCTCATATTAGGCCAAAGGTGCACACTTGTGTTCTGTTGGGAGAAATAGGTTAAATACTGAATGCTGACGTGTTTTGAGGCAGGGTGACTGCAGCCTAACAGTTTTGGATAGGAGGGTTTGGGGGAGAAGTTGCTGACAGTGGCTTGGGCTTCCCAAGGTTCCCAATGCAAGCACCGTGTGCTGCCCTTACCAGGAAGCTTCCCAAAACCACCACTGGGTGAGCACCTGGGGGAATGAACATCCTGAGGAAGGAAAGCAGCATTGGTTCTCATCATACAGGGACGCTTACCCCTGTGGTGAGGAGTGAGCTGCTGTTCCCACTGTCAGGATGGGAAATGGGGGCAGAACCCAAGAAGCACTGCCGTTATCTGGTGGTGACAGCAGTTCTGTCAATGCAGCTGGGAGAGATCCCATCCAGCAGAAATGTCCCTGCCACTAAAACCCACCTGTGGGCGCACACTGAGTGCAGCCAGTGCCAGCAGCACACACTGTGGGGTCCCAATGGCAACAAGGACAGGGAACAATATGCCAGCCAGGCTCTCGTGTTGGCTGAAGGAAGGCTCTGCTGAGCCCCTGGGCACCCTAAATAGAGGTGCAGGGAAACCATGGAGTCAGCTTTGCTCCAGTTCTTGTTAAAAATACAGAGCTGGGGAACAAAGGATTTTTTTCTTTTTTGGAAGAGACCTGAAGAAATAGCCTGGAAGAGGCAGTTAGAGGGGAGCAGGGGTGTGTGTGCTGGCACCCTCAAATAGCTGAGCTGCAGCCCAGTGCTTGGTAAATGGCACAGCAGCAGGCAGAGCTGGGTGCTGGAGCAGGAGGCAAGGAGGGCAAGCAACACTTTGAAAGACTGGAGCAGCTTTGGGCAGCACTTGTCCCTGTGCCCCCTGCAGCTCACATGTGTGGCGTTTCCCAAAGCCTCCTGGCCGCTGGGCAGGTGCCACGTTTGCTTTTGCACGACCTTATAAAACAGAGGCTTGGAGGCTTTTCTGCTTCTCCCCGGGGGCTGAAAGCTGCGTGGCTCTGCCTCTCCCTCATGCACCTTTCGCTATGGCCGGCCTGAACGTTTCCATCGCCTTTTTCTTCCTGGTGCTTGGCACGTGTGAGGCGCTCAGGCGGCTCTCCAAGAGGCTGCTGGCCCCGGGGCTGTTGGGGAGCCTGGCTGCAGAGCTGGCTGGCTCACTACAGCTGTGCTCGGGCTGCCTGGAGCTGAGGATGCTGCTGGAGATCGGCCCGTGGGGCGGCCTCGGCCCCGACGTGGTCCTGACTCTGCTCTTCCTCCTCTTTGCGGTTCACACCGCCGGCGCGAATGGAGCAGCTGCCAACCCCACCATCTCTCTCCAGGAGTTCCTTCTCTTCGAACACGGCTCTGTGGCTACTGTGGCCAAACTACTGGCCCAGTGTGCGGGTGCAGGGATGGGCTGGGCCCTCACCAAGATCTACTGGTCCTGGGAGCTGACGCAGCTCCACCTCTTCCAGAACATCATGGCTTCTGAGTGCAGCTCCTCCATCCACACGTCCCCCCACCTCGGAGCTCTGGTGGAGGCCGCCTGCTCCTTCTTCTTCCACCTCGTCCTCCTCAGGATGCGCCGCAGCCCTGCCGTGTGCCGAGTGCCTGTCCTGGCAGCCACTGTCACCTTCCTGACCTACGTAGGTGAGTGCACCCCTTCCTTCTCCTGCAGCCTGGTTTATGGGGAGGAGCAGCCCCTCTTCCCTCCTCCAGGGCTCAAGCTGAGAGGGGATGACTGCTGCAACGTTTGTTTTCTACTTACTTTGGCGTCTGGGCAGCAGGTGGTGTGTTGGCACATGGCAGGATGCTGACAGCCCTGCTTTCCTCCCCATGCAGCTGCACCGGCCACGGGAGCCTTCTTCAACCCTGCCCTGGCCACTGCCAGCACCTTCCTGTGCGCGGGGAGCAGCCTGCGGGACTACATCCAGGTGTACTGGCTGGGGCCCCTCACAGGTGAGCTGTGTCAGGAGTGGGTCCCACTGTCCAAATGCTTCCCAGCAAAGAGCTGACAGCCCTTCTGGGTCACTGTAAGCCTCGTGTAGTGAGGGTGCATGCACATGAGAAGGCACGCTCTCGTTTCAGGGATGCTCGCCGCCCTCTTGCTCTACCAAGGCAACATCCCAAGGTTCTTCCAAAAAAACCTGCTGTATGGCCAGAAGAGCAAATACAAGATACCCAAGGCCAGGGTGACGCATGCAGAAGATGGAGAGCAGCGGCAGACGGGGAAAAGAGAGAAGAGCAACCCAACGCCTCGTGCCTGAGCCCCTCTGCTGGGAGCAGTTCTGGCATGGAGCATTTTGTACACCCTAAAAGCCTACAATGCCAGTCGTGGGGGGGAAACTAATGTGTTTGCAGAAATTACTGGTTGTCTGGTGTACGCAGGAAGCTTGCAGAAACTCAGGACCATTGCGTGGGCATGCTTGGGCAACTCCCAGGTGGTTGCATCATGCCATGTTTGAAATAATCCGTGTGCGTCTCTTACAGCCATAAAAACAGTGTAATAAGTCTTGGAGAGTTGGGATGAAGAGGAAACTATCTGTAATGTTTGGCATTATTTGAGCTCAACCGAGGTCCCTGAATTGCACAGCTCAGGGACACGTCTTTAACATACTCTGAAATTCACAGCAGCAGGGCACAGCACGCCCTGCTCCCCCAGTGTGATTCTTAGCCTGTGTTTTGCATGCAGCTGGGAGCTGCAAGGTGACAATAATGGGTTCATAAAGCATCTTTGGTTAAAATATGTGGCTCTGGTATGCGGTGCAGGTGGGTGTTTGCATGCAGACCCCTGCCAGTCCCAGCCCTGGGCTGCTCTCTGGCTATGTGAAATGTCTCTGCTAACACAGCGCTCTGTGAAATAAACGTTACAGTTGGCACTAAGGCAAGTGGTGTCATTCCTCCAGAAATTGAAGAAATCTGCTTGGGGAAAAGGGAGGGAGATTTTTTTCTTTCCCAGCATCTCTGGATGTGGAATTCCTGGTGACCTTCATGGGAGCTCAAGCATGGGCTGAAGGAGACCTGCTCCTTCCTTCAGCAGGAGGCAGGATCCAGCCCTGATTAGCTCAGAGGCAATCAGAGTAACGAAGCGGCACCCAGCTGCAGTGATAGTGACAGATGTGGGTTTGGTACCCAGGTGTGTGGTGTGCCCTCCCCTACTCTCCTGCTGGACACAGAGACCCTCAAGGTTCCCTGTCCAATCGGTTGTGGGGAACTCAGATCCTCCACCTGTTTTTTTTTTCTGAACAACTTTTGGTTTGGAAATCGTGCAGAAAATGGGGCAGTTTCAGGATCTCTCCATTTTGATCAAGATGAAAAATCCTGATTTGTACTGAGGTTATTTCAGATCTAAGCTATGGAGCCTAGAGCAAAGACACCGAGGCTCTGGGTAAGAGTTTAGGGATGGGGTTCATTTATTGTCTGAACTGATTTGCTGGTCCTGCTTTTTCTTTGAATGCCTCACCATGATTGATGCTTGTATTTTTTTCCCTGGGCAGACATGGAGCGCTCCTAGAGCTGCTCCAAGCAGAGGGCTGGGATGTCTGGCTCATGTCTGGCTCTGGCTCATGCAACCCTTTTGTTTTTCCATGGAGGTGTCTTTTTGTTGGGCTGCTGAGATCATCAACCATAATGAAGGGGAGTTCAATAGGAGTGACAGTGAACACTGTTGTTTTTAATTAAGAGGTTGCTCCCCCAGCGTTGAGGCACGGTGGAGGAGAGATGCAGCTGGACAGACCGAAACGTTCCTGAGGTGTAAATGAAGCCCTGATGGACAGCCTGGCCCCTTCACCACCTCCAGCTGCAGCCTGTTTTGCCTCCTGGCATCGTGACGGCTTAGTGTCCCATTTCTGCTGAGTCCTCTCACTGTGAGACAAGCAGCCTCAGTGCTGCCATCCTCATTCTCTGCATCCCCTCCTCCTCCCATGGAGGCTGGGGTTCATCCTTGCTGGCTCAGGAATGACCTCAGAGGAGTCCAAGTGAGGTAAGTCCTTAGGCCCCCCGTGGGGCCTGCTCTAGGGGCTCTGCAGACCTCATATCCCACCTGAGCTGCACCATGGCAGCAGTGACCCCAGAGCCCAGGGGTGGGTGGTTGGCCGGCCTCAGCTGAGGGAGCTGGAGAACGAGGCCGGGACGGGGGCTCAGTGCTGGGTGCCCTCCAGCCTGTACCGCACGGCTTTACCCTGCTGCATGCCCTGCAGCGAGGGAGCGAGCTGAGGGGGCTTCTGGAGGGGTCTCTGGGGGGTATTCTGCGGGGGATTTGGGGGAAACTGCTTCTTGTAGAGAGCAGTGCTGTACTGCAGCTCTGGGGTCACCAGGCGCCGGCACATGCGCTCCGTCGCCTCGTCCAAGCCCTGCTTGAGGTTATAGCCCAAGATCCTGGCGTTGCCATACTGCAGCGGCCTCAGGGAGGAGTCCTTGATGTCCTTTGGGCCCACGCTGCCCGTCCCTTGCAGGCAGGTCCTCGCCAGCTCCGCTTGCCTCTGTCGCAGCGCCCTGACCTCGCGCCACATGCGCTCCCTCCCGATGTCCCGCTCGATCCTCTCCCAAAAGGTCCTATTGAAGTGGGTGTAGATTTCCCAGTCTAGCCTGTTCCAGGCCTTTATCTTCTCAGCTATGATGCTAGAGAGCGGGGACCTGGTGCTGCTGTCCCTGCTGTTGAGTGGGAAGGACACGACGCTGTCCAGGTCCCAGCACAGCGTCTCCTTCAGCAGCACCATGGACTCGTCAAAGTACTCTGAGATGAGCAGCAAGTCAAAGGACGCCTCGATGGCTCTCAGCATTAAGTTCACCCTCTTGGCCGTGACCTCCGCGTCGGGGTTGAAGCCGAAGTCAAAGGTCATGAGGTTCTTGGCGTAATGGCTGTCACCGGCCTTGGGGTCGTAGAAGCGGTAGGGCTGGCTGAGGAACTCCTCCAGGCTGCGGGCGCGGGAGAAGGCTGACGTGCCCTTGTAGTACACGAAGGAGGACTCCATGAGCTGCACGGGGTTCCTCAGGATGGAGAAGTAGACGGCTGTGCTGGGCACCACTTTCTGTACCTGCAGAGAGAGAAAAAAAAATGGAGTTTTAAAGGTGGGGAAGGGTAAAGGGACCTGCTTGCTGGAAAAGCAGAAAGGGTTTCATCAAGTTTGTCTACAGAAGCCCTCAGGAGATGAGCATGGAGGGCCATGAAGATGCTCAGGGGGCTGGAGCACCTCCCCCACAAAGACAAGCTGAGGGAGGTGGGCTTCTTCAGACTGGAGAAGGCTGCAGGGAGACCTTGTTATGGCCTTCCATCGTTCGAAGGGATATTGTGAACAGGAGGAAAATCAACTCTTTGCATGGGTAGATAATGAAGAACAGGAGGAAATGATTTTAAACTAAAGGAGGGGAGATTTAGAGTAGATATCAGGGGAAGGTTTTTTCCCTGAGAGAGTGGTGAGGCCCTGGCACAGTCTGCCCAGGGAAGCTTTGATGCCCCATCCCTGGAGGTGTTCAGTACCAGGTTGGATGAGGCCATAAGGAACCCGATCTAGTGCTCCATCTAGCAGTTGGCAACTCAGCCTATGGCAGGGGATTGGAACTAGATGATCTTTGAGGTCCCTTCCAACTCAAGCTGTTCTACAACTCTGTGATCTTTGAACGCCTCCATGCTTTCCTGGTACCCCACGTTGCTCCTGCCCCACACCCAAGGCCCGGAGGCTGTGCCCCTTACCTCGGGCCGCAGGAAGCGCATGTGGTGGCACAGTATGTTGAACTGAGGAGGCTTCCTAGGGGAGAAGCCCTGCACGAACCTCGCCATGAAGTGGTGTGGGTAGAAGAGCTGGTGGCCGCCCCTGAGTGGGAAGGCAAAGGTGAGGTTGTGCATCTCACCAAAGCGGAAGAGGACGTTCATGACAGTGCTGCTGGCGCTCTTGTGGACCTTCAGGAAAACGATGTTGGTCTTGGGTTTGCACACTTTCTGAAAGAAGGCGTCTTCTACCTGCCCACCATCCCCCAGGGCCATCACATCTGTAGAGATTTCTGTCCAGCTCGGGAGCAGTCCTCCTTCCAGCTCTGTCCTGTAGAAGTCATCTGCCCTTAGGAGCTGAGCTGTATCGAGCACGGGGTGTTTGTCTGAGTCACCCCAAGGTTGGGGTGGAGAACCCATGGCTTGATGCTGAGGTGGGCTCTGCAACGTCACCCGCATCATCTGGGGTGGTGTTATTTTCTTGTGCTCCTCTGCAGCAATGCTGTTTGTGAAGAGGACATCAGTATCTCCTAGAGCTGTGGTGGCACTTTCAGGAACACCTGGAAATATATCCCCTGTGCTTGCTTTTCTGGGGCTGGAGAGTTGGGATTTCAGCTGCGGGGCCGAAAGATGGGCTTTCATCTTGCTGCTCTCTGCAGGCTGCCAAGCCCAGTGAACCTCTTGTTTGTCTGGGCTGCTCTTCTGTGGTGTCACCCGTCTGTAGTAAAGGTGCATCTGGAAACCACGCCGCGTGTTCTCAGAGGGCTGCCTGTATGGGTGATCATCCTCCCTTGGCATGCCGTGGCTCTGGAGGACATAGTCCTCCATAGGGCTCTCCTGGCTGTGGTCTGTGGTCTGCTGCAGGGCGTGCTCCAGCTCACAGTGACAGTTCCTGCAAAAGGGTGAAGATGAACCGGCAGCAGGAGGTATGGGATCCCTGCTAGGAGCACTGAGTGTGCTGTTGGGCAATGGCCAGGTTGCTCTAACTGTTTTCTGCTGTCTGGGAATTGCCCTGCCCTCCACTGTTCTCCACAAGTGTATGGGGAGCTTCTCCTGCCCACTGCAGGAAGAGTAGCCAGCAGTCCTATGGGAGTGGGGCTGCTGGTAATCAACTCAAAGGAGCAGGGGAGGAAGGGAGGGAGTGAGCATGCAAGGAGGGTAGCTCCTCTGCAGCTGTCCCAGAGCAATGCCACTCTTTCTCTATTTGGGGTGGGCAGCGCTGCTGCTGGATGTAGAGCTTAATCACGTGGCACGACCAGCCTGGCAGGTCGGGGTGGATGCAGGATGTGAAGGTCTTTCAGCATCAACATTGCCATGCCCTGCTGCACTGGAGGGAAGGAGCAAAGCCTGCATCCTGCAGAGTTCTGAGGCCAGACAAGACAAAGCCTGGAGCAGCCTTGTTTGACCTCAGATGCTCTGAGCAGGATGCAGGGGTTGGATGAGAGAGCCCCAGTGGAGTTGTTTCCCACCCAGATTTTCCTGTGCTCTTGGTTGGGTGTTTTAACCCCTATCAGTCACTGGTGAAGGGCTGGAGGATGAGGTGCAGGTTTGCCCTTCTATCTGGGACATACCTGGTAGGCTGCAACTTCTCCACAACTTGAAACGAGACCATGAGGAGGATGAGGAGGCTGAAGGAGACCCAGAGGCAACCTGGCTGGCACCTGTATATTGCCTTCAGGTTCCTGCAGGGAAGCAGACATTTCAGACTACTCATTGCATCACACGGAGGAAGAAATACATTAGGCACAAGGCAGAGGGAAAAGAGACCTCAAGGCTTCCCCGCGACATCCATCAGAAATTAGTTGTCTTCTGTTTATTTTTTATTTATTTTTATCTAGCTTTAAGGTCATTTTCCATGGGTGGAAGTGGTGTCGAGACAGCGATAACCAATGGACATCAACAGCTGTGCTTGAGTAGTGGAGCCTAGTGGAAATTTCCAGCCAGGACACAGATATCACACCAAAAGGTAAACAGTGATAACCGTAAAGCTGCTTGGCTGCTCAGGGATGCCTTGCCAGCATGGCTTTAACAACGGGAGCAGGCACTGCTCACACTCAGCCCTGCCTGGCCGAGAGATGTCTGGTCTCTTTCTATAAACAAAGAGGAGAAGCTGTTTCTTCCCTACCTTCTGTTTCTCTTGGCTCTTGCTGAGATCTGCTATGGGGCCACATTGAGC